ATGTATTTAGGACAGGGTCTACAAGGTCTCACTATGTAGCTTGGACTCGTAGTGATTCTCCTGTTTTCAGCCTCCCAAGTGCTGGGATTACAGGTGTGCACCACCATGCCCAGTCTTAATCGCCATCTCAGTGTGCCCCAGGGGCGGGGCCAGCACGACATGCCAAGGATCAAAACCCTGGCCGCTGCGCTCTGCCTAAGCAGGTGCTTTAGTCTGCTGAGCTATCTGGCTGGCCCTTCAAAAATATATTTAAAAAAATTTAAAATCTTGGCATACTTTTAGATTTAAAGAATAATTTCAATGATTTTGCATAGCCAGGGAGATAGCTCAGTGGCATATGTGCCTGCCTGGCAAGCTCAAGGTCCCAAGTTTAATCCCTGGTACCGCACACACACAAAAAGATTTTATGTAGTTCTTACATGCCCCTCACCCTGTTATTCCTGTGAACATCTTAAATTCCTCTATACTTGTCAAAACTGAGAGATTAGCACTGGCGTGATAATACTAATTGAACCCCAGGCTTATTTGTATTTCATCAGTTTTTCCATTCATGTTCACTCTGGTCTTAGGATCTAATCCAGGATGTTACATTATACTTAATTCCTTTCCTTGGGTGTTTGATAGTTCCTCAGTCTTCTTTTATTTTTAGGTTTTGGGGTGTGTGTGTGTGTGTGTGTGTGTGTGTGTGTGTGTGTGTGTGTATGATGCTAGAGATGAGACCCAGCAAGCACCAGACCCCTGAGCTCCCTCCTTTCAAGATGGAATTCCTCCTAAATTCCCCATGCTGGTCTCATATTTATGACCCTCCCAACCCAGGTTCCTGAGTAGCTGGGATTACAGGCAGATACCACCATACCTAGCTGAATTTGCTTCTTTTCCTTTCTTTTTGTATGTGTGGCATTATGATTACCTTTACTGTGAGGCATTTGCACATGTTCTTAACAGTTCTTTGGAGACAGCCTCTTGCTTTGTAATTTAGCCTGCCCCTAAACTCACTTTGTATCCCAGGCCAGCCTCGAACTCAGGGCAAGCCTCCTGCCTCAGCCTCCCAAGTGCTGGGATCATAGGCATGCACCCACTCACCTGGCTCTCCATAACACATTTTAATTCCTCTTTTGTCCCCTTTCCCTTCCATCCATTCCTGCTCTCCGCAACTTTTGTTTCCCCTCCTATTTACAAAAATTCTATTTTCATTTTTTTCCTTGATTCTTTTTGCTATCCCCTTCCCTTCCCACCATCTCGTTTTCCCCTTCTATCTGAAAGAGAACTCCCTACTTCCTGTTACCTATCTTTTACTTTGTCTTTTATGTATAGTGTTGGTTACTTATGTAAGAGAAACCATGTAGTATTTAATTCGTGTTTCCAATTTATTCACTTAACTTACCATTTTGAGGTGCATCCACTTTCCTATAAACACCTTGAGTTTATCCTTTATGGCTTCATTATGTATAAATACCACATTTTATCCATTTGCTCATCTGTTGCTCATCAGATAGGCTACTTCCAAAGTTTAGTTATTAAAAATTCTGCTGCTATTAACGTCGGCGTGCATAGATACCACGCTACGATGAGGCGGTTCTTCTGGGTGACTCCGACAGTCTTGAGAACTGGTCACGTATCCTATCGAGTGCCTCCCAGTCTGCATTTGGTTGATGTGTTTCTCGAGATGTGAGTGCTCACAGGTAAGTATTCTCATCACGTCCCGCTGGGGGTTCACAGGGCCACGGTGACACCCCCGGGGCTGCTCCCCACGTCCATCATGTGGCTACAGCCGTGCTTGAGAGGGTCCTGCGCTTTACGTTGCTAGCTGGATGTGGTAGAAGCCCAGTCCACTTTCGAGAGCTAGGAAGCAGAAGCTAGATTTCAGCTCCTAAAGAAAGAAGGAGATACGTTATTTCCTAGATATAATATTTCCAATTATTTTGTAAGGAATGTTTGTCTCTTGCCCCCATGTAGTCCTTAAATGTTTTATCAGCATGGACTCATGCATGTTTACTTTATAGATCGATTATAGTCCCAAAGAACATTTATTTATTTAATTAATTTTATTTTTAAATTTTTCTCACATCCGATGGATAATGTGGCCACGTCGTAACAAGGTTTGAGGGAGGCGCATCTCATGCATAAAGCATGAACACCCAATCATCACGCTCATGAACCAAAGGATCCCATTTATTTATTTATTGTCCTTTTGAGATAGGGTCTTACTATGCAGTGGAGGCTGGCCTTGAACTCACTTTGTAGCCTAGGCTGACTTCAAACTCATGTTGATCCTCCTGCCTCAGCCTCCTGAGTGCTGGGATTACAGGCATGTGCCACCAGATCCAGCCCCAAACATTTTTTTTTGTTCCTCCACATCTTCCATCTTTGGCCATCACAAGTTTTTGTGCAGGCTCCTGGCTCCCTCGAGACACTGTCATCCATTGATCCTCTTAGCACTCTGACCTTCTGCTAGGACGACTGTTCTTGGCCATCTTGTATTTCTTCTGTCATAGGCTTAGAATTCATCGTATTTTCTAAGAAGTCTGGGTCACCCATGTGCGTCTGCAGCCTGGATGCATCATGTCCTAGAGAGCATGGGGGCTTCGGTGGCATGGGCGCTCAGGAATTTCAACCTGGAGAACTGAGCTGAGTGGGAAATCAGCAAGGTGAGGCCGTCCACGGCCCCGAGGCACCCGTCCAGCCTGAGTGCGCTCTGGGAGCAGATGAGCGGCCATCCAGAAGTTAAGGGAGAAATTGCTAACAAAAATGAAAAGCTGCTGTCATTGCTGAAAGATGTATACGTTGATTCCAAAGATCCTGCATCATCCCTGGTGGTAAGAGGTGCTGAAACAGCAAGAGAAGAAGAAATTCAGGTTGCCAAAGGACCAGCACTTTGGCGTGGATATGAAGAACATTCCCAAGGGCAGAGTTTCCATTGTAGAGGTCTTGACGCTTCTCAATAATCATAAACTTAATCCCAAAGCGTGGACTGCGGAGAAAATAGCACAGGAATACCATTTAAAACTGGAAGATGTGAATGCCCTTCTCAAGTATTTTGTTACTTTTGAAGTCAAGGACTTTACTCCTGAAAATAAGAAAGCAATAGAATCAAAATAAAGAAAATCATGAAATTACTTCTGTGTATATCTCGCCCCCTTGTCCTGTTTATTTCCATTTTAGCATCCTAAATTATAAAAATTACTGAGTATATGATGCCTTACTTTGAGAGAATTCTATTTATTGAGCTCTGACTTCAGATTGCTAATAGAAAGTATTTTATTTTTTAAAATCTTTTAATTTGGTTTAGGCATAGTTCCTATGTATATGTCAATGTGACTAACCATAGCTACAAGTTTATTGTAAATGAAGGAAATGTGTTATTTTGGGCACATGATACAGCTTTAAATGTTAAGTGTTTTTAAAAGCCACATGACTTTTGGGTCAATAGAGTACTTTTATTAAAAAAAAGAAACAACTTTAATCAGTATAAACTTGTATTTTAAAATGATAAACCATTTAAAACCATTTTCCTTAGGTCAGAGGATTTAGCTCAGTGGTACAGCACCTCCCTAGCAACTGTGAGGTCCTGAGTTAAATTCCTAGTGCCCCCTGCCAAAAAAAAAAAAAAGAATTACTTTATGTAAAGATCAGTAGTTGAATCACCAGCACTGCTGTTTCTGAGCCATCTACATTCTGTGGTTAGGCACCTGTAAATATGGCTTTTATTGCATGGTGTCATGTAATAAAGTACTTCTGTGTCATTCTTTAGCAAAAAAAAAAAAAAAAGAAGAAGAAGTCTGGTTCCTCTTATTTAGGAATGGTAATTAGAAACCA